CTACTACATCGGCTACTTCTGCCGCTACTTCTATTACTGCTACCGATTTTACCGCTGCCGATACCACCAACACTAAATTTATCACATCTACTTCTGATTCTTCTAAAAATTATTTTCGAGAGAATGTTGACGATGCTGAAATAATGAGTGCAACTTATGACGACACAAGAAGTGATGAAGGAGATTCTCACAATTTAAAAGTTACGCTCTACATAAAAGGTGAATTTAAGAATGGGATGAGGCTCTTCAAGAAAGATGGTGGATTGACTTATCAGGTTGTTTTTGTTGTTGTTTTATTTTTAATGTGTTTTATTGAAGAGTCAAAAAAATTATTAATAATAATTATAAATACATCTCACAGGAATTATACTTCAAGTCATGTTTATTGTAATTAAAACTAATAAAAATACGTTTTAATATTTCTATTATTGATGAATAATAAAATTCATTCAATTAAAATTAAATAAACGAGAATAAAAAAAATAAAATAAAAAAACTCGTTAGGTTCTTCTTCATCATGGGACGCTAGTGAACGTGAAATCAAATGGAAAAAGGTTTCTGAACGTCTGGCTGCAAGCTTCAGCTTATGATAGGGAACGAACTAGAGGTGCTGATAATGATGGTGGTGATGATAATGATGAGGATGATAGCAATAATGGAGATGATGGTGATTATGATGATGATGATGATGGTGATGATCGAGATGATGATGGTGATTATGATGATGATGATGATGGAGATAATGATGATGGGGATGAAGATGATGACGACGAAGTTTTATTGATGGTGATGGTTGTAACCATGATGATGATGCTGATGAGGATGATTATAATTATCATCGTCCTCATCTTCTTCTTTTCCATTATCATCATCATCATCCATCTTCTTTTTCATCATTATTTTCATCTTCTTTTTTTTCCATTATCATTATTGTCGTCATCATCTTCTTCTTTTCTATTATCATCATCATCATCATCTTCTTTTTTTCCTTATCATTACCAGGACTTTGTGGGACATTTAATGACGTCACTGATGACGATCTGTTGCACTCTGACGGGAACCTGACGTCAAATGGGACAGCCAGACGGAATATGCCGAAAAAGTTCATTGAGTCATGGAGGTGGTGATGATGATGAAAACGATGATGATGACGATGACAACGATGATGATGATGATGGTGGTGATGATGGTGATTCGAATGATGACAAGAGTTGTTTGAATGATTATAGCAGTGATGTCGGTGGCGAAGATAGTTTTTTTTAACACAATTAATAATACGTTTTGATGATAATGTTTGATTTTTTTGGTAGCGTTAATTAAAACACAAACGGTACAACATGTTAGCACTGCTATGGTTTCAGTGTTGCAAATAATTTTTACACAACGATGACGACACTGATTTAAATTATGATTATAATTATGATAAAAATATTTAAGGTAATAATTACAATAATAGTGATGAAGATTACTATAATAATTAATCACATCTCGTTTTAGAGTGCCAGAAGATAGGAGGATATTTTACGGGATAACACATCGACAACAGCAACAAAACATCAACAGCAACAACAACAACAGCAACAACAACAACAGCAACAACAACAGCAACAACAACTTCAAATCATATTGTAGATGCTCTCACTGTTTGCTCAAGAACGTTGCTTGTAGCTGCGGCATTGGCCAACTTGTTGAAACGTGCGACCTCGATCTAGGTGAATGAATGAATGAATGAATGAATGGATGAATTAATGAATAGATGAAAAAATTAATAAATGAAGAATGATCGAATGGTTGATTGAATGAGTTTTAAGAATGGATGGATGAATGAATGAATAAATAAATGAATGAATGAACGAACAAATGAATGAAGAGTAATGAATGAATAGATGAATAAATGATTGACTGACTGACTGTGTGAATAAATGAATGAACAAATGATTGCATGAATGAAATAATCAGTGAATCGGTTAATCAACTGACCAATGAATTAATACATGAATAAATGAATGAATGAGTGAAAAAACAAATCGACAATCAAATGATAAAATAGACTAATTAATGAACGAACAAACAAACAAAAGAACAAACAAATATTAAAAATGGGCTAACAATAAAACACTTTTTTATTAAAAAAATTAAATAAATTATTCAAGTATAAACCGATAAAATATTTTTACAAATGTCTTAAGGTACGGAGTTCGTATTTCCAAACATTACAATGTTAATGAAACAAAATCCATACCATTACGACAAAGACATTGTTATCAAAAACACTAACAACATCAACAACAACAACAACGACGACGATCCATTCAACGACGAAATTGATATAGATGAGAATTTCATACCGGTCAGTTGTTGAGATCAAATAGCCATGGTGGTCATTATTCATCAACGTATTCTTTTGTAGTCATTTGTTTCACAATATTTATTATCACCATCATCATCATTAGCGAATCGTCATTTTCATCATCACCATCATCATTTTCATTAACGCTTTATTCGCCTTTGTGTTATCATTTTAATTATCATTATCATCATCACCATCATCACCACCATCATCATCATCATCATATTTAATTATTATTCTTACCCTTGTACGAATCATTATATCACTATATAATGTGAACTCTCTTTTATTTCTAGAAAAATATGAAATAAAGTAAAATGAGATAAAAGTCTAATTAAAATCTAACAAAATAAAAGAAAATAGATAAATTGATTTAAATTAAATTAAATACAATAGTATTCTACGATGCTCATCATTTGAAATAAACGAGTACAACGAGATATGATTAGTTTTAAACGAACAGTTCAATTGTTATTGCGTTCACAGTAGATGGCATAAGATGACGGTATTACAGAGTTAATAAGGTTATTATAAAATTGATCTGACCAAATGTTATTGATTAATGGTAAATTTAAAAAATTGCAAAAGCCCAATGTTGAAATTTCAAAAGTATTAACTATTATTTTCAGGTGTATTAAATTGTCATGCAAATTATTTTTGAGATTTTCTGAGCATTTGATGGTTTTATATTTTTTTGAGTTGAGTAGGTTGGATTCATGGCAGACCGCCAGCTCTAATATTTCTATTGTGTCGTCACGAAGTATTGCGATGTCAGGACGTAGGGATTTGAAGAGACATAATAATAATAATAATAATAATAATAATAATAATAATAATAATAATAATAATAATACTCCATTTCATAACCACCATCAACTTCACCATCGTCACCATCATCTTTATCATCATCAACTTCACCATCCTCACCATCATCTTTATCATCATCGTCATCATCATCATCGTCATTTTTATCATCATCACCACAATACTACATACAGGCAGACAACTTAACAGGTATAAACTCGATAGCTAGGACATACTGCAAACGTATGCTACTCTTAGAATCAAACTCAACATTGTTGAAGACGTGCCAATTGATGGCTAAATTATATCTCAATAATGGTGATAACAGCTTGAGAGACGATGATATCAACAACGATGATATAGTGTTAAATGGGTATCAAAAATTTGACGATGCCAATAATGAGAGGTATGATACAGCCATCATGTCACCGGTAGATATAGCAGTAGAAGGATGCGTTGATGACATCCAGGA